CAGCCAGTGATGCTTGACTTCAGTGATCTGCTGGGAACCGTGTCTTAATGATCAGTCCACTGCGGGACAATACGAGTTTGCAAAATTTTATCAACGTGATACTTTTGATACTTTTCAAGCGTTCAGTTTATCATCGAGAGACTTGCTTTTGCCATTAGTCAAACTTAGATACAAAGAATTTAAAAAAAAATATTCTCAAAACATCCTGTGTCTGATGTCATATCCTGCCTGAGCAGTATATAAGGAGCATCGATTCTGAAGCAGAGCATTCAGTCGTTCGAGAGCATTACAAGTGTTACAAGCATATCTGACGAATTGTTTTTTTAAATGTCTTCCGACTCTTCCCTCTCTCATGAAGAAGGCGAATCGACTGAGATGGACCTTGTGTCAGCTCCGTCTCCATTACCTCCAACTTCTATTCCGAGCCCCACGGATGTAATACCTTTACCAAAACCAATTTCTCCACTGCTTCCATAACCTCTGCAGCTATCGTTTGAACCCATCTCTCCTCTGCGAGAACCTCCTGCCAAATGACCAGTGGTTATGAAACCATCGACGTTTCATCGTCATGGTGGCTCCTACTAGAATCAAATCTGCCAGCATACCCATGGTTTTGGCTCTAGACTATCGCAGCTGATTGAAACGGATTTCAAACATTATTCTCGTCTCCAAGCATTCTAGGGATCCAAAAAATTCTTCAGACCATCATTTAGCAAACACGTCTCATCGAGCAAACTTGCGTCATCGACCACGTCCAAGGAATCCAACAAACCTGCTGTAAGGGAATCTAGCAAATCTACTGCTTCCAGAGACTCCAGCAAACCCATCCTTGACGACAAATCATCCAGTGGAGATTTTTCCAAAGTATCTTCAAGTGATGTTACGCCAAGCAAAAGAGAATCTATCGAGCGGAAATTCATTTCAAGACCCCCCAAAAAATTTCATCAACGCGTAACCATTCTTTTGCCGTCGTGTGCCTCAGATCCGACGGCTATACCATTATAAACGGTTACATTTATCATTCGATTTATGGATCCATTAGGCCACAGTTGTTGATGAAACAATTGTTCCAAATGAGGGTGCAGTTTATAATTCTCACTGACGCCACCACGAAAGTGAAATGGCGGGACGTCACTCACCAATTGCCAGACTATCATCCAGCAAAAGAAATAAAAATGGTAATTTTTAAAAACTCTGCGAAACCCTTGGGAAGATGTGTGTACTGTCTTAGCCTATGTATTCTTTTATTTCAACAGACATTCACAGACGAACGATAAACAAAAACATTAATAACAAGAAAAAGTCGTTTGGGTTGCCTAGCAACCAGTCAGAGTTGCAGTTATTATTTTCACAAGAGTTGGCAGACGATTTAAAATAACTATTTAAACTAACTGTCAATTGATGTCGGAACATCCTCCCCACCCTGGTCAACCTCAAGAGGGATGACCAGCTGTATAGGTCGAGTTATAGTCTTTCCATCCACGCCACATATCCGCATTCTAGGGGTTTACTTTTTATCGAACCTCAGCTACCGCCATCATTTTCAGGAAGAAAAAAAATTTCTACACTAAAAAAGCTTAACATACTAAAATGTATATCAAGGAACTCCTGGGGCGCACGCTCCTTCCACTTATTCCGAATTGTCCAGTCATACATTACGCCGACGCTTGATTTCGGCTGTCACCTGCACTCCCTCGCCAGCAAAAGTGAACGCAAGATACTCGACACAGTGTACCATGCCACCTAGCGGATAGTTACGGGCCTTCCGAAGTGAACTCCACTACCGCTACTTCACCAGGAGGCAAGCTGTCCGAATCTCCAAGAACGCCATAACATGATCTCTATGCGGTTTTATGTCAGACAAATCCAATGTCAGTCACTAAGTGAAATAAAATACCAGAATCTGCGCATTCCGAATACCTACAGGAGATCAGCTCTCCCCCTACAAGCAAAAAACTGGCTAAACGATCACGGCATAACCATTAATCATATGATCGAACTCCGAAAATACCCTCAAAAGTCCGTATACATTTCACAAATCTCCCCTATCAAAACAAGAATCTACCACCGAACTTAATACCTACCATATTCTGGGACTTTGTCCGCAATAATTGGCCACACCACACTCTGATCTATACAGATGCCTCCCGAACATCAGGCAAGGCAGGAGTGGCAATATATAATTCCCGCTCCGGGTCAGCGATGTCCAGATCCGTTCCATCCATTTGCTCGGTCTTCACAGCTGAGGGAATAGCTATATTATTAGCACTTCAAAAATGCCCTACAAGTTCTCGAATTATAATTTTTACAGACTCACTCTCTGTTCTGACAGCTCTAAATTCTGCTACAGACTCTAAACAAGGAATCATACACCAAATCATAGTCTCGATGGAAGCGCTCCCATCCTCATGACAGTCTGTAGATATAGCATGGGTTCCGTGCCACTCCGGGATTCTCAGCAATGAACTCGACTGACGAGCTGGCAAAAGCAGCGCTCTCCAGACCAAGAATTTACGATAGATTTACATAGAAGATATTTATCAATCAATTAAACGAATCCACCAACTATCCAGGCAATCAAGTTTCAACAATAGCAAATACTACACTGATTTTCTTCATCTGAGCCAAAATAAAAACGAACTTCTATCCCTCTCCAGCAGGCACCAAGACGTTACGTTCTCTAAAATCCGCTCTAGATCCTATCCAACTAAAGCAAAGTTATTCCGTTTTGGACACGCTCCAGACAACAAATGTAACTGCGGTTCCATCTCCGATATTGATCACACTATTCTAGAATGCCCTCTCTTTGATCAACAGCGCACCACCCTAAAAATACAGCTAGGACTTGGGGCCTTGTCGTTTTTATACCTTATGGACACGACGGACAAACGCAAGCTGCAATATCTTATGTATTACCTAAAATCTATCCGCATACTGTAATCATCCACCTATCTCCGCTACCTTGGATATAAGCGAGTTATAAGCTGCAAACTTCAAAAAGCTCCAAAACAGATCGTCAATTTTACTCATATGATTGCTAGCTATCATTAAGAATGAATAAGCTTTCAAATGCCAATCAACGTTTTTATTAATTTTTCTTTCTTTTAAAAGTATAACTAAACCTTTTTTACTAGTTTTTTTTAAATAATAAAAATGTTAACTCTTAATGACATCTTATATTTGTTTGTATATACAGTTAAACACGACAAAAGATGTTTAAATTTGTTTTATTTTATTTGTTTTATTTGTTAGTACGAATGTTTTGTTAGTTTCATATTCTAATGTTCGCTAACATAACAATGAACAATATATAAAATAATGTAATTCTGAAATACAACTTATTTAATTATAAAGCTTATTATTAAGTCTGCAGAAACTGCCTGGTTTATCCATTTTTTTTAATTACCTAACGTTTCGGAAACCTAAATACTGATACTTAAGATCCATTTTTGTAGTTCCCTTTACATCTTGGAACTACACACGAATATGGTATTGTTAAAAGCTGTAAAATAATGCAACATATAGTTTTTTAAATTCGTTTAAAATGACATATCCGACTGCCAAACGAGACTGCTATTTAATGAAGGACAAATATTGGAAATTGGCGGCTAATCGCATATCACCACAGTATGTGACGTCACTAAAAGACCTAGATGATCTCAACGGCCTCATTTCTCGGTGGATATACATGGATCCGATCTTCCCCCCAGATGGCGCATTCGAGCGTTGCGCTCAAAAAGTATTCATTGTATTTGCTATCTGTTTAGCCTCCACCAAAGCCTTATTAATGACTGAAAGAAAGCTATAAACTGAAGAAAAGATCTCGTCTCACTTTACTACACTGATACACTAGTCAATAACAGAAACAAAACAATCCAAGCTTAGAAGTTGATGAGTTAGAAAATCCGTTATCCGTATAAAGAAATACGTGTTCTTAATTTGGGTATCATTTATCATGTCAAATCGAAATTCTTGCTTTAATATGTGGGAAATATATTCATTGATTTTAGATTTTTTGCTCTAAGATACTTACACAATGTTAATCGAAAAGACATTGGCAATGTATGAAGGAAAATAATTCAAAGCACTAAATGGCAAAAAGTGTTTTAAAATAATGTGATAGCTTTAATTCTATGCACTGTTACTGATATTATTTGTATGGCACAATTGTCTTCATTCTTTAGAGAATCTTCGTCATAAGTCTAAAGATAGACATTATAATTGCAAATATTATTAGGAATCCTTGCACTGATGACTATGCATTTAAAACTTCGGTGCAAAAGTTTTTTCGGCAGTTTGTGTTAAAGTGTCTAAATTTACAAACAGTCTCTGGAAATCTCTTCATCATGTTAATGTGAAAAGTGTGTTACTTCTGAAATATGCTATTTGAACAATGTTTGTGATAGAAAAATAATGGTTTGACTAAAATATTTCATTTTTAGACAAGCGTGAAAAATTATTTATTTTGTTAGCCTGCTAAACAATTAACAATAGTAATAGGTTAGGAGAACTAAATTTTTATGAGGCATATTATATTAATTTTTTGTTCACACTAGTTTAAATTTTTCGTATCTCTGTGTATGACATAAAATATTTGCTCAAGAATCAAAATTTCAAACTCTAATATGTAACTTTATTTTTGCCTTAAGTCTGTATCATTAAACATTCCTTATATTATTAGTTTCTCTAAGATTAGTTTTTGTGTTAATCTTAATCATATGATAGCCAACACATATAGTTACAGCCTTAAAATTTGTTTTGAATGCTACACTAAATAATCTAAGCTAATATGATCATTTACCAAGAATATACTATAGATTATTGTAAAGCATTTAAAATGATACACCAGTTATGATTTGTAAGTAATAATAATAATTTAAATATTTCTGTTACCTTTCTTTTTTCTCTGCATTACAAAATTAGTTTCAAAATAAATTTCTAGCCTTCGTTTCTTTACTTATTATTAAAAAAATCATATTTCTTATAAAATTTTTTTTATTTTTTTTTTTAAATTTAATTTAATTGTTTTGATAAATTTACTATTTAAAGCATAAGTGATTATCAAATTTCAGTGACATTATTTTCAACTTTAATTAATTACAGCAATTTTATTTAAATCACACATTTTTATACAAAGTGATATTACATGTGATATGAAATAAACCAAGACTAATATTTCTAAGTATTAGATGATTATTCATGTTGGTGATAACGAGAATACTTATTCTTATGCAACATGTTATATGAGTTTTTCATAGACAAGTAATCTAACTGACCGGCAGTTAGACTGATACTGGTTAATAACCTGACTCCTCTACATACAATAAGAGTTTTTCATAAAGAAGTAATGTGACTGAATACAATCATGTTCATTTTGGTGTGAAGCTTCATTCTTACAGCATATGCAATAAGAATTGTTCCCATAGAAGTGACATGTCTCAACAGTATCATATTCACATGGGTGAGAAACATTTTCCCTGTAATATATGTAATAAGAGTTTTTCAAATAGTAGTGGTCTGACTAGACATAGTCGTGTTCACACTGGTGAGAAACCTTTTTCCTGTAGTATATGTAATAAGAGTTTTTCAAACAGAAGTCAACTGACTAGTCACAGTCGTGTTCATACTGGTGAAAGACCTTATTCTTGTAGTATATGTAATAAGAGTTTTTCACATAGAAGTCATCTGACTAATCACATTCATGTTCACACTGGTGAGAAACCTTTTTCCTGTAGTATATGTAATAAGAGTTTTTCACAAAGAATTCATCTAACTATACACAATCGTGTTCATACTGATAAAAAACCTTTTTCTTGTAGTATATGTAATAAGGGTTTTTCACAAAGAATTCATCTAACAGTACACAATCGTGTTCACACGGGTGAGAAACCTTTTTCCTGTAGTATATGTCATAAGAGTTTTTCAAACAGAAATAATATGACTACACACAGTTCTGTTCATACTGGTGAGAAGCCTTTTTCTTGTAGTATATGTAACAAGAGTTTTTCAAGCAGAAGTTATCTGACTACACACAATCGCATTCACACTGGTGAGAAACCTTTTTCCTGTAGTATATGTAATAAAAGTTTTTTAAACAGAAGTGAACTGACTGGTCACAGTCGTGTTCATACTGGTGCGAAGCCTTATTCTTGTATCGTATGCAATAAGAGTTTTTCCCATAGAAGTACCATGACTATACACCTTCGTGTTCACACTGGTGAGAAGCCTTTTTCTTGTAGTATATGTAATAAGAGTTTTTCAAGCAGAAGTGACATGACTAAACATTATCGTGTTCACACTGAGAAACCTTTATCCTGTAGTAAATGTAATAAGAGTTTTTCAAACAGAAGTGAACTGACTGTCCACAGTCGTGTTCATGCTGGTAAAAAACGTAATTCTTGTAGTATATGTAATAAGAGTTTTTCACATAGAAGTCATCTGACTGATCACATTCATGTTCACACTGGGGAGCAATCTTTTTCCTGTAGTATATGTAATAAGAGTTTTTCAAGCAGAAGTTATTTGACTACTCACAATCGCATTCACACTGGTGAGAAACCTTTTTCTTGTAGTATATGTAATAAAAGTTTTTTAGACAGAAATAATCTGACTAGACACAGTCGTGTTCATACTGGTGAGAAACCTTTTTCCTGTAGTATTTGTAATAAGAATTTTTCACGAAGAAGTCATCTGACTCAGCATTTTTCTGTTCATACTGGGGAGAAACCTTTTTCCTGTAGTATATGTAGTAAGAGTTTTTCAAACAGAAGTGAACTGACTAGTCACAGTCATGTTCATACTGGTGAAAAACCTTATTCTTGTAGTATATGTAATAAGAGTTTTTCGCATAGAAGTTACCTGACTGATCACATTCATGTTCACACTGGGGAGAAATCTTTTTCCTGTAGTATATGTAATAAGAGTTTTTCAAGCAGAAGTTATCTGACTACTCACAATCGCATTCACACTGGTGAGAAACCTTTTTCCTGTAGTATATGTAATAAGAGTTTTTCAAACAGAAATAATCTGACTAGACACAGTCGTGTTCATACTGGAGAGAAACCTTTTTCCTGTAGTATTTGTAATAAGAATTTTTCACGGAGAAGTCATCTGACTCAGCATTTTCGTGTTCATACGAGTGAGAAACCTGATTCTTGTTGTTAATTCTTAGAGTTTATCTCTATAAAGGAATTTTATGCTCACTGCTCTGTTCATATTGCTGACTAACTTTATTTTCGTATGTTTATTCACATGATGTTTAAATGATAGTATAACCTGTTTATAAGTATAATATAGTGTTTATAAGGATAGTATAACCTGATAAATAAACCTGTTCATGATTATTTTCGTTTCAGTTTGGACTCTCACTCTAACATTATGTAACGAGTTTCATAGAGAAATATTTTAACTCTCTGCTGATTTGTCCAGAGCAACTACTACAAATTAAAAGTTGTTTGTGGTAAGGTACCAATTTTTTTAACTTGTAATTCTGTTGGGCAAAGCTGATATACAATATCATGGGGCTTAGAAATTCGAGAAATAGTTATTTTACTGAGTATCGTCTGAATGTTAGGCTTTCTGGTTTCTGAATCTTTAACTCCTTTTTGTTTGAATGTAAAGCATAGTATTCCTTTTATGCCATATTTAACTGTTAAAATATATTGTTTCTGATTCAAATTAAGGGTCATCATAACTTTTGGTATTAAGTAGGATACAACACCTTTCATATTTCCAAGTAAGGGTTGCTAATTTTTAATTTACTCAGTCAAAGAGCAAGAATGCCAGGACCTTGGTCATTTTTTATATTTTGAATTAGATTTGTAAATGTTAAATTTCTAAATTTGTTTTCTGATTAAGTTCTTTTATAGTTCTGCAAGGGTANCCATCCCCCCCCCCCCCCTTGTTGATATTGGTAATAAATATTGCTTTGATTATTTTTTTTGTTTTGTTTTGTTATTTTATTTAGTTGGTCTCAATGTTCATTTTTATGTGAATAAATAAAGAAATGTTAAGTTTTTTCCTATGATTTCTTATTTTTGACGTGCATAAGCTTCGAACCATTAAACATGATTTTTCCATCTTAAAACCTGATTTTTTTTCAACCCAAGCATAGTCTCTACATCATAATTTTTGAAGTGTTAGAGGATAGTTTTTTTCAAAAATTCAGGAGTAACGATCCAGTTTTTTTTAATACATAAATTAAATTTTGTGACTAAATACTTACATTTATTAAAACATGAAAACTGGAATATGACTTCACATTTAAGTTTAATTATATTAAGTACAATTTTAAACATAAAAATTAAAATTTTCTATAGAATTGTGAAACATGCTTAAGAAGTTCACTTAAATTTGATAATTTTTTGCTTTTTCTCTTACTATTTGATATTTTACAATTTAACATAAGAAAATTATTTATTTGATAAAATGCAATCAATATATTTACTCATTAATCTAACATGAGATCATTTAGAATGTAGAAGCATAATGTTATTAAAAATAATAGCATTTTATTCATTTTTTTAAATTATGCATTTGAAAGAAAAAACATTACAGAATATAAATTCTTTAAAAAAATTTATAAACATGCTTTTAGATGTTTTTTAGAATTTTACGGTAAATTTTTTTGTTTTATACATAAAAAGAATGTTTTGTAAGTAAAATAAATTTTTTGTTGCATGTTTTTAAATAAATTAATTTTACTTTTAACTTATTGTGAGTATTATAAGTAGTTTTTCATGTTGCATACAAAATTCAACTTTGTTGACATACAAAATTTAATTTTGTTGCTCTAATGTATTTTGCATTGACATATTACATAAATTTATTAACCAAATATGAGTAATTTAAGTACTTTTTCACATTATGTACATAATTCAACTTAGTTGACATACAAAATTTAACTTTTATTGTTCTAAAGTCATGTTTTATATTCAAAAATATTTACGTTTTTGTTCTCAGTATATCTGTAATAGTTGAGTGACTATGCAATATATAATTTTTTTTCTAAATAAAAAATATACTATAAATCAAATGACTGTGACACATTTGATTAGCACTAAAAACAGCATTTTGTCTAATTATCAATTGAAATAAAATGCTAAATTTCATATAGAAGGCAAATAAATAAAAGGTTGATTAAAATATCTTTGAAAAAATTTTTTAGTTGTGATAAATTTATGTTGATATATTAAAAACATTTTTTCGTATACTTACAAAAATAGTAATTTTATTCGCTTCCTCACCTATAGGTTAATGTCAGATATGGGCGTCGATTACAACTGTAACTGATTACAAATAATCGCTGCTTTGTGATCAATTACTCACAGTCATGATTGCAGGTAATTGTGATTACAAATAATCATAATTTTTGATTACACTAGAGTAGGGCAAAAATATAATTGATTACATTTTTCAATTACAGTAATCAATTACTTGTAATCATGATTACAAATTTTCATTAAAATTGAAATCGCGATTACATAACCAGTTACTGTAATCAAGTACTACTTGTAATCATAATTTCAAGCAATCAAAAAATATGATTACACATAATCATGATTGCATGTAATCGTGATTACAATTAATCTAAATATGTGATTACATATTTGTATACGAAATAATTAGATATGCATGTGGAAACAATATAGACTTGTACACTACGAATGTATGCATTTTATGCAATCACTCGTCTATGTAAAATTCATATGTTCATGTAGGCATGCATATACAAGTATTTGTTTGTAGAAATATATATACATTGTACCAATGTGTGTCCCATCCATGTATCTACAATATTTTTTATCTTATGCATCTATGTACAATGTATGAATATTGTCAAAGTATGAATTTGTTGTCAAAGTTAAAATGATATTCCATTATGTTACCATTTTTAACTTACGGGTTTTTGCAAAATCTCTTATTTTCTCTAAAGAAAGTTTGATATTTTTTTGCTGGTTCCTGCCCAATTATTTGAAATTTTATGTACAGAAGCTGACATAAATTTTCAAAACCTTCTTATTATGTTTTTTAATTTCAATAATACTTACATGAATACATGAGCATTATTAAATGTAAGCATACAATAATGCTTACATGAATACAACTTTTAAGCTACAGTATGCTTTGCTATTTATTATTAGGCAGATATATGACTTGTAATATGACCATAATTGTAACTGTAAACTTGACGAGACCAGATTTTGTGTATTTAAATTTATTTAATCACTTGATAAAATGAAGCATGGTTTTAGCAAAACCTAAAATACAAACTGCTCAATAATTTACATCACAACAGATATTTGAAGAATATAATAATAGAAGCAAATATATTCTTAATAAAGCAATCAGATTTTAGATTTAAAAATATGCAATTTTCGAAGAATTTCTTTGAGATAAAAATATGTGTGTGTATACTTTCAGAAGTGCATCCTTTTTTACATCGTTAATTCTAATATTTATATGTTTTACAAAAATTATTATTAATTAGCAATGGCAGTGAGTTAATTGATAGTGCATATTAATTACATCAATTGGGATTCACAATTAATAAGCAGTCATAATTGCTTTTTGTCGCTATCAATTAGTCATAACTAATATGCATTCAAAGTAAAATCAGACGTATTGGTTATGATTGTGATTTAACTGTAAAAGCATATTAGTTATGATCAATTAATAGAAAAACAAATGACGAAAGCATTAAACTGTGCTAGTTATATAATAAATTTGTAATAATTAAATAAAATATTTGAAATCTTTAAGGTCACAAGAAATATATTTTGCAAAGTATTTCTGACATTTGAAAATTTTCTGAATTCTACCTATGTTTCTGGTTTTTATCTCTGAGTAATGTCATTTTTTAAACCACTTATATTTAAATAATGTAAACTTGATAAAAAAAAATTTCAGTTCTGAATAATTTTTTTTTAATGACACCAAAATTACAACTGTTAAAAAATATAATTAACTTTTATATTAAAACTTTTTTTAGTATTAATGGAGAAAAAAATCAATTAACAGAAAATAAAAACTCAACTGTTTTTTTAAAAATGGATTATATTTTTATATGAAAATTTTTTTCTTTAAATATAAACTTTCAAAAGGGAGATTTGAACATCTTTTATGTTGATAATATTCAATTTAATTTACTTTAAGCTAAATCTACGCAATTTTCATTTAAAAATAATTAACAGTAGATGTATAAATCTGTTGATATTTAAAGCAGTAAATCAAATTTAATATTAAAAGTAATAATAAATGTCTTTGAAATGGAAAATATATAATGCGTGAGCATAATTATAAAGATATGTGACTGACATCAGTTATGTACTTAAAAAGAAAAAAAACATTTAAAAAAAATCTGGTTATTACTTAGTTATTTTGTACAATAGTTAATAGCTTTTTCTAATCCTAATAAAAAAAGGGGGGATGACTAATTTTTAAAAAAATATAATTTCCAAGAAATTAAAAAAAAAAAATCTATATTTAGTGAATACTGTTTACAGAATCTTTCATTTTTAACCAAGATCTATTTTTTCTATGAAAGCAAAATTTTTCATAACAATGAATTTGTGTTTAATTCATGTTGTCATTGAGTTTCCTCTAATTCTTAAAAAGGTCTCAAAGCAGAGATCATAATAATAAATATAAAAGAATTCTTGAAAAAATGGAATATATATCAAGTCAACGGATGTCCTCAGCCACAGCTGAAAATCATTTCCGCAGCCAGTACTATACTATGATAAATGTTTACAAAATTTGGCTTTTTATCCTTATTTACACCTGGTTGCTGCGATAAAATTTCGTCGTTAGCGCATGCGTATTTCACGCAGCTGGTGCACGGGGAGACAGGAATAACATGAACAAAAATATTCGTTTTGAAGCTTATCTTAGCAGAGACAACCGATGTACAATTCGCAAAAATAAATAAATGAACGTTCAAAAATAAGTTTGATATTATTCAATGAAAAATGTGTACTTTCTACGATAAAATTCATGTTTCCAATTTAATACTTAACTTAAAAATCATGGTTTTTATTTTATAGCTACCAATAAAAAACGCTGTTTTCAATGAAATGTGTAATCTTACATAATCAGTTACATAATATGCATAATTACAATATTAGGACGATCATTGCTTTTTGGAGTTATTTTCTTTATTAGATTGCTCTTTACCTTTTATCTACTACGTTCTTATTAGCTCGTTTTCGTGTTCGCGACGAAAGAAACGCAAGATAAAATGTCAACAACTTTACAACTAGCTTGAGCACTCAAATCTATACTTGATCTCAGTGTTTGAGAACAATGCAAATTTCAATCATATCCGATTCGCGGCACGTAGAATTTATGCAGGGGCTATTTTCAGGGGGAATTCGACTACTTTACGATTAGCTAAACTCAAATTTAAATATATCTCACTGCTGCATGGTAATACATCTTTAAATTTTTTTTTGTCCGCTTCGAGAAAGATTTAACGAGATATCAGAAAATGGTATCGCCGATTATAATTTTGATCCCTTTCTACTTAACTAGATCACTCAAATTTCAATTGGAACTCAGTGCAGGATAAAAGAATGAAAGAAATAAAAAATATAGTCCTAATATAAACAAATAACTTATTATATATATGATAAAAACAGCTCATTACTGATCCTTAGTTGATTTTTTTTATTTTTTTAAATTTGTACCAGGGCCAAGATGATCAGATTTCTGTTAGATCAGAAGATAAAATTGATGTTTTAATACTGTTTAGAAATCACTTAGATTTATTTCTGAACAAAAATCAATGAAATGGTCAGTATTTCATTTAAAGAAATTTTTAAAAAGAACATTTGGTATAAGAACAAAGTCATATTTCAATAGCACTTAAAAATTTTTTGATTTGTTATTTACTTTTTTTTTATTATTTAAGTGATAATCTGGTGGCTCTATCTGGAGAGATGTTTTTAACTAGAAATACATTTTAAAATCAGAAATTTCTGTTGGAACTAGTAAAGGAATACCGTGTTTGCTGAAATGATATACTTGAGAGACTAAAACCGTCTTTTTCCCACATTAAGTTTTTTCAAAAAATATTTAACTTTGGAGTTTTCAAATCTAAATAACGTGTGATATTGGGAATCATGAAATTTATAATATAATTGTAATTTGGGAAAATTAACTCTTTGAATAAATTTCCATTTAAGATCCGAGCAGTGTCAGAGCGGAAAACTTTGTCACGTCTCGGGTGAAGATTAAATATGAGTATTTTCTACATAAAATATTAAGATTTGTCTGTATCAGCAAATTCATATTATACTAAGAGTACGTTTGACACACAGATTCAATGAACACAAAATTTGAGCTCATAGTCATTCTCTCCCTGTCATGGGCGGATCGTGAATTTGTGGGGCCCTGGGCTGAAACTACTTTGGGGCCCTAATAGCCATTTTGTCAAAAAACTGTTTTCTGCAGTGATGTAGATAAGTATATGGATGGTGTTTTCAATAGAAATGTAAACAATAACAATCTCGAGCTCGCACCTACTCTTGTTCCGGTTAAAAAGTTTGCAGCTGCTTACTACATGTTATTCTGATAGGCGATGTTTTTCAAACGGATAATTTTGTTTTCAATAAAAGAAATAAACTAGATAATTTCTGAGCTCAAATCTGCCGTATTTCATAAGATATTAATGTTATTATGTAATTCTGGGGAGTTTGGAGTGAAAATTTGTTTCAGTTATTTTGTTATTTATTATTAAAAAAGGTGACATGGTTGCTAGATATTGAATAACTCGCTTTTTTGGCAGTCTTGATTTGGCCTCTTTCCATTTGTTTATTACTGTTTGTTCGTGTTGCAAGCTGTGTGCCATCTTACGTTAGTGTTAACACTTTTAGTATTGTAAACACAAGTATTGTTAGCATTGTAAACATAAGTAATAAGTAATCAAATACATTGTTTTTAAAGATTTAGTAAATATGAAGTACAATTCAAGATTATAGCTATTTACACATCTGAAATAAGCACACCGAGCAAAAAATTAGTCACCCTTTGAGAAATCATGAAAAACATAATTTAATAGCAAGTAACACCGCTTTTAAATTCGATAACCGTCTGAAATCGGTTTAGGAAGTTAGTCCACAAGGTTTTGCAGGTACTCCAAATCTAGTTTAAGCCACTCTGTGAGGATTTGATCTCGCAAATTGCGAGGATGCTGATTTTGGCGTTTTACCCGTTATTCCAACATGTTCCACAAATTTTCAATGGAATTGAAGTCAGGTGATTTTGCAGGCCAGTCGAGATGCAATTGAGTGTCTGAGTGTTCATAAAACCAGTCTTATATTCTTCCAGCTCGATGAACTTTGCTGTTGTTATCTTGAAAAATAGGAGTAGCGACAACACACTCTTCGTAAGGATGTTGACCGAAAGGCAACATCTAATCATCCAGAATGTTCAAATAAACATGTTGGTTCGTGTTAGTTGCCACCTCAGTGATGGGACCCAATCCATAATAAGAAAAACGCCCCCGAAGCATGGCAGACCCATCTATGGCTTGAACCTAACCTAGCACACAGTCAGGATGAAATGTTTTATCTGCTCTTCGTTGCGCACGACGACGTGTGTCTTTTGAATAAAGGCAAAAACGTGATTCGTCAGACCATATTACATTCCACCAGTCAGCATTTGTCCACGTTCCGTGACTTCTAGCCCACTGAAGTCGCGCAGCTTTATGTGCATGTGTGAGCAATGGCCTGTTACGAGATGTTCGACTCCAAATGTTCATTGCATGCAGTTCCAGTCGCAATGTTCTCTCCTTAACAGGTTGGGATGAACCTTCATTTACTAACTGAAGCAATTCCTGTCAGGTTTGGAGGCAATTTTGATTGACAAGTCGGGAAGCATG